GGTGCTTCCCTGGATCCTGCATGTACCCTGCGGGGGGCCGGGGCGCCGCTCTGAGCCGTGGTATCGGGGAATTCATTTTGTAAATGTGTACGTGTGGCTCACGTGCGGTGAGGGGGGTCTAGGGTCGGGTTTTAGAGAGTTGCATTTGCTGTAGCGTTAGTTGCGGCGGGGGGGTTGAGGGCTGGTTGTAGCCCATCTGTGTTTCGTGGGGTTGTGTTTTGGGTTTGTATAAGCAGTTTCCAGGCTTTGAAGAGCTGCATTGCTGTTGCTGAACTGTAGTTCTTCCAAGGTTGCCATTGTTTGCGTTCTGGGAGGGCAGCTGGTGGCCTCGCAGGAAGGCGGCAGGTCGCGCCGGAGGAGGGCTCTGGGTCGGTTCCGTGTGACTTCTTTTCCAGGAGAGGTTTAGCTTTTCTCCGGCGTCTCTGATGCCAGAACAAGGCCCCAGAATGAACGGTTTCTCTCTGGGCGAGCTGTGCTGGCTGTTCTGCTGCCCGCCCTGCCCCAGCCGCATCGCTGCCAAGCTGGCCTTCCTGCCCCCGGAGCCCACGTACACCGTGCTGCAGCCCGAGCAGCAGCAGGAGCCCGGGGCGGCGGCCGGGGCGGGCACCCCCACGGGATCGGGCACCTGCAGCCTGCACCTGAGCGAGCGGGCCGACTGGCAGTATTCCCAGCGGGAACTGGATGCCGTGGAAGTGTTCTTCTCCCGCACGGCCCGAGATAACCGCCTGGGCTGCATGTTCGTTCGCTGTGCCCCCACTGGCCGGTACACGCTGCTCTTCTCGCACGGTAATGCTGTGGACCTGGGCCAGATGTGCAGCTTCTACATTGGCCTTGGCTCCCGCATCAACTGCAACGTCTTCTCCTATGACTACTCTGGCTACGGGGTGAGCACCGGCAAGCCCTCTGAGAAAAACCTGTATGCAGACATTGATGCAGCCTGGCAGGCCCTCAGGACAAGGTAAATGGATATTGGGGACAAGGTATTTCTGTATCTCCCTTTAATCCTAATAAGTCTGCACGGTTAACCTTGCTGAGTGGAGGGGAAGGGTTTGTAAATGGTTTCAGTTACTTTGGCGGCCTGACCAGATGTTCCATGAACAGCTACAGTGTGATTTACTGGATGGCTTCATTTGCTAAAACGATGGGCAAACCTCCATCCTTTGGCTTTTTCTAGATTTAGAGGATTATTTGGTTGTAATTTTTGTTAGCCATTGCTTCACCATTGAAAATCTCCATCTTGAGTAGGACATATTGGTTGCAGTTTGAACTTGCAGAGTGCAATAAACCTTGCCTGCCACTGTCTACACTTGGAGGTAACCCAGGTGAGCCAAAGCTCTGCCTGAATTTGGCTTACCAGGAAACTGATGGTGTTGTGTGACATGTTTGGCGTTTCGTGCAAGCTCCTGCAACATAGAAGTCTTTCTATTTTGGCTTCCAAACAACGCTATCCGATGCTTATGGTAGTGGGCTGGAAGGAAAAAGTGTTGACATCTGGAAGGAGAGCTGGGGTTTCTGCCTGGAGATGCCAAGGTATGTGGCATCCAAAGGGATGGAGCAACAGTGAGAAGGGTCTGGCAAGAGGCAGCATGGTGAGTGGAAACAGTGAGCCCTTGGCTTCTAGAAAATCTTGAGCAGAACTGCTGCCTCTGGCTCCTTGCTATGACTGATGGCTGTCCCTGGGCCTCCCACTTCTGTCCACAGAAACCATGAGCTCCTTTTGCTGTTGCATAAGTGGTTCTTAAAGTATGACCTCACAGAACATGTCCTGAAAGAAAGAGCTTTAAAAAGCTTAAATTGTAGTAGGCCAAGAGAAAAGAGTGATGAACGTTTTTAGTTCTTGGCTCTGGCATTCATAGACAAACTTGGCTTGCATGAAATGCGTATTTAATGTCTATCTTGGGGATACGTGCCAGCTTCAGAAATAGTGACAGGAGTTGTTACTAATTTAGATAATTGGCTTTGCAAGAATCCAGGGATTGGTTAGTTGTGGAGTCCAAATGCCTTTTGACATTGCTCTGCCTAAGTCAAGCAAAGAGCGGGGGGAGAAAGGTGTAGGGAGAAGTTACCCTTCCATAGCATGTTCTGTCTGCTTGGTGAGCAAACCAGATTCTGGGCTTGTTTTCCAGGACTTTAAAAAAGATTTGTTTCCTTGAATATAAATAACATGGTCTTATGTAAAGAAGTGATTTTGATATGGTGTATGCATAATAAATTATTAAATGCCACTACAACACATCTGGGTGATGTAAATAAGATTCAAGGGAGGAAAAGTGCTACATCTAAACCAAGCCTAGGTAGTGGTGGTCCTTCTCTCTTCCTTAATGTGTGTTTTTTTGTTTTTCACTTGATGTTTAGTTGATGATATTGTTTCATTTAAACCTTCTCAAGGTCTGAAAAAGTGCTTTCACATCTGCCTGGAGGTGCTTCTGTGCTGACAGGCATTTAGTATATGGTTATGTTCTACATAGGCCCAGAAACAAGGGGTTCCTTCACTTAAATCTTTTAAGAAACCTGACCCAGTAGGTGATTCCACCACATGCCCAGCTTGCTTTTAGAGGATCTTCAATAAATTTGTGACTGGACAGGTTTGTAGTTTTCTGTTAGTGTCCCTTGAGTGGTTTATACAAAATCTAGGCTCTGCTTTCCACCTTTAATTGAGAGGTTGAAATTTCCCAGCTCTTACTTTGCCATGTTTGTTAATTCTGTATTTTAGAGTAGTTAGCATTGGTAAGGTTTTTAGGAGCCAAAATCCATTGGAATTGGGTGCCCAGGGAAGCAGTGGGATCACCACCCTTAGAACAGTTCAAAGGGCATGTGAATGTGGCACTTGGGAATATGGTGGTGCTGCGTTCATGGTTGGACTCAGGGCTCTTTGAAATCTTTTCCAATGTTAACAGTTCTGTGATTTTAAGATTACAGTATTTTAGGTGCCCAGTAAAGAAGTTGGTCACTGTAAAGTGTAACCTTCAATAGGAAGTTAATAAATTCTATTAACAGATGACTGTGTTGGTTACAGGTATAAGTGAAACCTTTCCATCAGCGTTTCTGCTGATGAATTCTCCGAGTAACAGTGTGAACTTTACAAGACTGATCATTTGCTAGTCCTCAATCCAAGTGGCTCACAATTAGTGAAATATTCTGCAGCAGAAATCCAAGCATGCCTCTTGAGGTAAAATGTCATGTTATAGCATTTCTGCTGCAGCAGTTCCTCGGTAGCTCCAGGAGATTTTGTATGCTTTCATTCTTAATGCAAATTCCTGGCGTTTGGCCTCCAGTCATATGGTAGTGAACTGTAATGCAAAGTTAAAAGTGAAGTCTTAAAATAGAGGTTCACTGTGCCATCAAAAGCATTTAGTCATCTGTGCTAAGTTCCGTGGGAAGCTGTTGCTCTTCTGAATCCACCAGACGTTCCACCTGGCAGCAGAAAAGAATCATTAAAATGTTGGAAGTCTGAGACTCTTCCTTTTAAATTGTGCCTCTGAAGTACCACTGATACCTGGCAATCATTAATTTACCTGCATGTTTTGCAAGTTGCCTTGAGGAAGGTGGGGATTAACCCTGTGCTTGGAGAAAGCTCTCAAATTCTAGAAATGATGGTGAGCTGGCAGTGATGCTTTAAGTTTTAGCTTTCATATTTTTCACATTCTGCGCCACTTTAGTGTGTAACTCTGAGCTTCGTATTAAGTGTTAGCAAGTTCTCTTCACAGGGTAGGTAGTCAAAACAATCCTTTTCCAGCTTGAGATCAAGGACAACTGTTACAAGCTCCAGGCCCAAAAAGTATAAACAACGGTGAATTGAAGAGAGAAAACATTGAGGATGGAGCTTCATAACCTGGGGCTATAATTGGACAATCAACTCCAATATGCAAATGGACCAAAACTTATAAAAGTGTGAGACCTACTAACCAGTTGTCCATTTCGTGACATTTTGGGCTCATCCTGGGCATAGCCCTGGCCAGGCTCTTGTACTGCCTAAGGTGTATCCACTAAGGCCTTTTAATAAATACCTGCTTTATCCTTTAGCTCTGTCTAGCCTCTGTTCTAGGTCAGCCTTTAAAGACATCAGTTTGTTTTGCCATCATGGCTGCAGATTGTGACTGTATTCTTTCAAGGTCCTGAAACAGGGATCTTGCTATCACATACACGTTTAGGAATCAAACCTGGCATAACAGATGATTATAAAGCTATCTGAAAACAGTGGATGAAAAAACAAAATCATCAAATTCTTTTGTTCAGTTTCAATTATCAGCCTGTCTTTGCAACATCAGTCTCAACTATTCTCCATTCTTTTAGTCTTTGTAAAGGAAATTTATTTTCCTTAATTTAAAGGAATTTAGTATTTCTTCTCATGAATAAACTCTGTCTTAAAG